GAATATGCTAACATTAGTATATATATTTATTCTGGGAAATCTATCCCTACACTTTTGCACATGCTATCATGAATGTCATGAACTCACATAGCCAACTTCTCAGGCAAAACTGCTGAAATTAAACAAAAAAAGAACCAAAAAACCCAACAACCTCAATTTCAAAAAAAGCAGATATTTTTAGGAACAATGTGTACTATGATGTATTTCTACATTTTCAGCATTTAGACCTTTTCCATAGCATGCAGCTGTCCATTTGCCCTTGGCTTCTAGTGACTATAAAATAAAACAGCAGTTGCATGACTCAGGAATGATGGGGAAAATTATTCCTAGAACGTGAAGTATGTCTGAGAGAGATTAAGACAAGTAAATACTTCCCTCCTCCTCCCTTTTTTTTTCCTTCCATTTTGCATTTTTTTAAAGAACACATATGTTTGATACACAGCTCTGTGCAGTGTGATAAGACACGGACTTCTCTGAGGTCACTCATTTCTGTCTTTAGCTTTTATTCTTTTGAATTTGTTTCAAACCAATACTTTTGCATATTGCAGAAGAAAAAGAATACAGAACCTTTAGAAATGTTTATGAATTCAAGAAGCAGTTTGCTGGCCTTTACTACTTATTCTTCCCACGTAGAAATGCCTTTCACTTGTCAATGGTGAATGGCTGTTTATGGCATGAATCTTTTACTATGCAGACGCAAAGACAACAGGTGCTAGAAAGAATGATGTGAGTTTTAACTTCTGCCTAGAAGTTTAGAACTCTCATTTGAGGAAAACTTGCACAACTATGTGTATGTATATATATTTCAATTAATTTTTTGTCCCTGTCCTTATTATAGATCCACTTATTCTGGCCTCTTGTGACCTTTATTTGAAAAGTACTGTTTACATTCCACTCCAAAGTATATGCCAGGGATCCCACTTTAGAATTATGGGAATTGGCACATATGTCTGAAGACAGATTTTGTCCGCATCTAGTAGCTAAGATTGAAGGCTTTTTTCTCTTTTGGCAGGAAGCAGAAATTTGTAATCTTCACAGGGGTGTGATTCTCTAATGTTCTATGCACACCCTGAGGTCTTGCTTTCTTACCAGTACAACAGGAAAGCTCTAACCGCCATCCAGACATCTTGCAAGAACAGCCCTAGAATAATCTGGATTTTACTGAGAACTGCTCTTAGTAATAATGTTATAGCAACTTTCTTGTCTTATGGTATTTGAAGAAACCATAGGGCTTCTTAAGTTTGCACTACTTTAGCGGCTTTTGCTTCATCCTTTGATGTTGAAGATATGGAAATGAGGTTGCAAAGAGACAGCTCGAGTCATTGACTGTGGTACTGTTGAACTAATATGTGCTTTTTTTCCCCCTGGCATAGCATATGTTCCATGTGCAAGCTCAGATGAAATTTGAAAGCTTAACATGGAAAGCTGCTAGTCAATAAGCTGCCACAAATACTAATTGTGTGTTTCTTCATTTAGTAGTTCAGAAGCACTGCTCAATAAAAGAACCTTGAAGATTTTCTTAAAGATTGAGGTGATCAAAAAGCAGTTCTGTGACTCTGCCACAGATCAGGCAGGAGAATTTCTCTCTGAGTAGTTGTTCACCTTTTCTGAAGCCAAGATCTATGACACTGGAACAAAAGCTTCAGAGATTGCTTTGTTTTGGAGTATAACCCCCTTGTAGCTCATCTACGTGGGAACCAGTGACACTGGCAGTGAGACCTTCAGTCCTCAAGTGTGTTCCTAGAGAGCACCAACAGTGAGAGGTAAGAGCATAGGAGCCAGAATTTCAGGGGAACTGACTTCAGCCTGTTCAGGGAATTGGTAGACAGGATCCTAAGGGAGATTATTTTGAGGGGCAAAGGCTACCTTGAAGGACAGAGGATCCTAAAGAACTGGCTGTTGCTCATTGGCAATTTCCTTGAAGCACGAGAATGATCCCTATCAGTGTGCAAGATTTTAAGCAGGGTCCAGCAAAAAGGAAAGTCAGGCTCATATAGAGCCACACATAATAAAAGTACCATCAGCAGCTCTCAAAGTACTACTATTGCCCTTTACTCAGCACTTGTGACAGCATACCTGGAACACTGTGTCCAGTTTGAAACTCACCCTTGAAAGAGTGATACTGTTAAACTGATGACTACCAAAATGGCTGTTAGGGGGATGGAGGACAAGAGGCTCATCTAGCAAGTTTTAATCTAAGGAAGAAAACAGTCTTTATCTTTCTAAATGGAGGTATAGAGAAAATAGGAAATAAAGTCTTCAGAGAAGAGCACAGTGAAAGGATTAGACATAATGGTTACAATTTGCAGCAAGGAAAATGTCAGGTGAACACATGGAAAAAAATCACAAACAAACTGGACAAAGTAGGACAAGTACTCAAAGATGTTGTGTTTTCAATTAGTGGATATTTTCAAAACTTGACTAGATAAGGCTCTGTGCTGCCTTATTTTTGAAGCCAGCTCTGTTGAGAATGGGAAATGAAATGTGATTGCCGTAAGAGGTTTTTTACAACTGAAATTTATTCTATGTCATTCAGGATCTCTGCTTAGGCTCTCTTCCACAGGCTCTGTCAAGTGTTTTGTAAGGCAAATCATTCTTCTTTAGCAGAAATCAGGTGAATTGTCTGTACCCATTTTGTCAATTAAGATTGCAAAAGGATACAAATACTTCAGTCCAGTAGTAGCTATTAAAATTGCTTCATCTTGTATTCTTCTTTAAGGACACACAAAAGTAAGAATGTGAACAATCTTCCTATCTTCTGCTTTCAGACTTTCACAGAAAAAAACTATGGTGACTAACTTCCTTCTCAATAGCCTACTTCCAGTATAACTGCTAATCGCACTTTGGCAGCAAGTTATGGACATGTCTTAGACACCTTGGTTATGTGAGTATGCTGACTTGTGAGAAGAGCTGAGAGCATCAAACTTTTGGGTATGATTTTGTAGATGTTCTGAAGTTTTGAATAGGATAATGATATTTAGGTAAGTACATTTCCCAAGCATCTCTGTCCTACTGGTATGATGGAGCAGATGCAGAAGAGCTGTCAGGATCTCTATCTCCACATCCAAGCTAAAATATCTTGTGCTAGCCTAATGGGTCCTGTACTCTGTTGTCACCACTTTCTTTTGGGAAATCATAGCAGAATTTTACTAAATGCTCTTGCTTTTCAACAAGAAAAACAGTAATATCTTAAATAAAACAGCTCTGCTCAATGAAGCTGGTAAAGGGACTAGAAAACAAGGCTTATGAGGAGCAGCTGTCATCTCATTGCTCTACAACTACATGAAAGGAAGTTTCAACAAGGAGGGTGTTGGTTTCTTTTCTCAGATAACAAGTGATAGAATAAGTTATGCCAGCAGAAATTTAGATTGAACATTAAGCAAACTTTCTTCACAGGGAGCTTGGTAAAGCATTGGAACATGCTGCCCAAAAGTGTGGAGTCTGCATCCCTGGAGGGATTGAAGAGATGTGTGGTTGTGGCAGTAAGTGACAAGGTTTAGTGACGGGGCTTGGGTCAGGCAGATTATTTGACTTGGTGATCTTGAAGGTCTTTTCCAACCTAGATGATTCTATGATTCGATAGTATGTTCATCTGAGCCCCCTTCAGAATAGCTTAGCCCCTCCTCCAGGATGAAATTAATTGCCAGCTGGAGAACTTCCTAGCTAAAGTTTTGACTTTTAATGACTATTGTTATTGCCTTCAGCAGGCCTTAGGGAAGCCAAGGGTGACTAGCCTAGACTTGTGGGATCTAACTTGCTTAAACTAGGGCAGACTAACTGACCCAGAGTGGAGAAAGCACACTTCACTTCAGAGGTCTCCTTGCTAGTTCCTGGTGTCCTACCATTTCCTCCCTTATAGTCTCTAACACTTTCTAGAGACAGCAGAAATTTTCATAGATTAAAAATGTAGCAAATGAGCAGGACTTACAAGAGCTTTTAATTAGCAAATCAGTGAACAAAAGTAATGAAATACCTTAGAATTTCCAACAGATCATGAATATTTTTACATGTGTTTTAAAAGTGCGGAAGAGTAATTCCCAAAGGAGCAAATGCAAATATTCCAGAGTTTTTTCAGCAACAATATTATAAAACACTTCACATTTCACTGAAAGTGTTTTAAGAGGAAATTACAATCTTATCAGCATGTGTATGCAGATATGCAATATGAAGAAGGTAAGCAGGTTAGTAGGTCAATAATGGAATTAGAAATAGAGTTCAAGCCTTTTGATCTTGGCGTGAGTGTTCTGCCCCACAACACCCAGATGCATACAAACTAGGATAATGATGAGCACATACTGTCGTTTATATCCTAAAAAACTATTGTCTTTTACATCTTTCCAGACTTGTCAAAGTTAACAGAACAGTGACCCAGAAAACTGGCCGTATCAGCTCAATCTTGGGAGGATGCTACAAATTATGTGTGGGTTATGAGGAAAGAGAAAATTCAGTTATTTACTGAATATTCCGAATTTACTGAATTCTGTATTTCATTCACAGAAGTTTAGAGCTCCCACTTACTCATATTTGACAACTATTTTGTGTACTCCAGTCACATATAAAACACGTCTCCTATACTTGTCATGTGAATATGCTGTGTCTTTCAGCTTCTTTAGAATCTCCCATTACCACCTTCACTGTCTTTGTGTCCCTGACTGAAAAAAGCTCCTTAGCAGAAGTCCTTGAGAATCCTACAAGGCTGTATCCCTAAAGATACATGCCTTTTCCTGCTCAGTAAGTAGATTGAAAATGCAGTGATTCCATGAATGGTCCTATACTTCTTAATTTTTTATTGTAATCAAAAGGTAGCTTTCTGAATGGCTTCAGATAACAGTAGAAAGAATTGCACCCTGGGCAGATGCTCCTCAAGTCAAAGCACAGAGGCACAAATTTCTTTTTTTTTTTAAACTATGATTGTATAATTTTTGTTACAGAAAATGGGGAGAAATACCTCATCCTTTCTATTCTAATGCCTTAATTGATGGAGCAAACAATATACTCACCAGCAATAATGTAAAAACCTCCTCCTACTTTGTACAGAATGTGGCTGGCAAAAGGAGCTGCACAGATGATCAGAAAACTAGCCATCACAATAGTGATCACTCCCAGGAGCATAAGAACTGTCCAGAAACCTCGATAAACTGGAAAAAAAGAAAGAAAAAGAATGCATATCACACTTATTTAGAACTTAAACAAGTTATGTATTTTGCTAATAAAGATTTTTCTTTTCCACTCTTCCACTTACTGACAAACCAAACATTCATTCCATTGTGCATGTGCATTATGTGTCACATGGATCAAAGGAGATTCAGAATCCAGTTCCTATCTGGTGATCATGGAAAATAGGGTTTAAGTTACCTCAAATGAAGTCCAGCTGCTTATCATTTAGACAGTGACTTGAAAAACAGTAACTTGACAAAATTTATGATATTTAGAAAATGGTGCACTGAAGTTGCAGCAAAGATTCTTTGGGAGAAATGATTGGACTGGCTGGATCTAATTGTTTTACCAAAATTGACTGGGAGAAACAGAGAACTGTAACATTATGACTTTCTCAGTGCTCAGTTCCTATCACCAAAAGCAATCTGTAAGTTCTCTATAACTTTCAAGTACATCGTTCTTATTAGTTTATATACAACAAAAGGAAATCTAAAGCAGGAAAGAAGAGAAACCTTAGAAACTTTAGAAAAAAAAATAACTTGAAAAACAATTTTTAAACCAGGCTGTTTCCACTCTAAAGTTCTTTTTATTTTATTAGAATTTGATGTTTCAGAAGTCCCTGCTAGACAGTGCCAAGCAGTGCTTAATTAATGGATGCAGCTGGTGATAAATGAGCCGAGAGTTTTGTGACATACTCTGGCCAAAAGAGTCTTTCTAACAACTATTTTTTAGCTGCTTAATTGCACATCCATTTAACAAAGTCATCATTTTACAAATGCTACAAGACTGACATAAATTTCTCCCATGAATTTAAAAATTGGTACATTAACAGAACCCATTAGTAAAATTATGAGTTGCAAAGATCTCCATCGTCAGTTCAGAAAATCTTGAAGCACTGACAATTCAGTCAGTGAAAAACATTTCCACCCAACTGAGGGAAAGCGCATAAGCCAGCTGGCACGTCAGAAAAAGTGAGTCACAAAAGAAACTGCCACTTATCATTTGACAGCACCTACTTACTGTTATAGCAAAACACAACTAAGTAACTATTATACTGGTTCATATCCTGAAAGTTTCAAATCCATCCTGCCTGCTAAAGCCAGCTTCTGGAATAATTCAGGTTTGCTCTCATCTGAAATCTGAAGGTGAACTACATGTTATCAGCTTGTGCTTCCCATCAATATGTTTCAAAAATCTACAGTTTTCAACTTGACCAGCTTAACTCATGTTAAAATACACATCATCTTGCTTATCTCAGCCTTATACATGTATGTGCTAGTTAGATCACATTCACCACATCACATTAGCCACACTTTTAAAATAACGCCCTTTTTAATCCAGGCAAAGACTCAGAGACATAATTTTCCGCCACACTGATCTGCAGATTTGGGCATAGGGAAGATGAATGTGTCTGAAATTAGTTGGCAGAGGAATAAAACTGTTTTTTTGGTTCATATCCAATACACGGCTTCCTTCTATGTAAACAAATAAATAAATAGTAGGTGAGAAGTAAGGCTCTGGTTCAGCTAAGCAGTTAAGTGTGTGTTATGCTTTAAGTACTCAAATTCTTAGGGGATTTAGGAACCTGTTTAAAGTTAAACACATAGTTTAATGATTCACTTGATGCAAATGGACAGTGAATGGAGGCTAGAGAAAGTAAATCTCCTAAGTCCTTCAGTCTTGGGTCTTTGAAGCAATTTCATATTATTTTACTCACGGGGCTACTTTGTTAAGCTCCATTGCAGTCCCCAAGTCCATGGGACATTACTTCCTCATTTAAAACCTAATACTGCTAAATCAGCCTATAACCACCCAACTATTTTACATGGATGGCCCAAGGTACTTCAAAGTCATGCTACATAACAGGGCACATTGGCCAAAATGAACTTTGAAAGGGCTTCCTTCAATATCATTATGGTCACTCGCTGAAGTTATACAGCAGTGTTTCTAGAGATGGAAGAGGACATAAGCTTCTACAGCATAATGAAATCAGTGTGCAGTTTCATTATCTGCTCCTGACATAAGCTTTTAGTGAAATTTTACCAGAAAAGCTTGATTTGCTCAAATATTCCTGAAAAATAAACACAAAAGGAGTACAAATATAATTGATGGAAAAATGTTTAAACCTCTTTGTGACTATAGAAGAGATAAGCAGTTTCTCTGCTTGGACAGAATAACTATTTTATGCATTATAAGTGAAATACTGATTTGACCTAGCTATCTTCTGGCATAACCTTCCATTATATTCCTCTATAAATAATTATTTTCTCTAGAGAACTGTGGGGGTATTCTGACAATCCTAACAGTTGTTTATCCAGCAATCTATCATTAAACATCAATTAGAATATAAAGAAGATAGGTAAAAAATCTGCAGAGTTCCCTAATCTATCTTTTTATGCAAAATCCTACCCCCACAATCTACAAGACATTAAGATCCTTTGTGGCACAAGTCCAAGGAAACATCTTAAGAGACCCTGGAGTGTGTCCAGAGAAGGGCAGTGAAGCTGTGAGGAGTCTGGAGCAGTAATCTTATTGGGAGAGGCTGAGAGAACTGGAATTGTTCAGTCTGGAGAAGAGGAGGTTCATGGGAGACCTTATTGCTCTCTACAACTGCCTGAAAGGAGGCTAAGGTGAGGTGGGGTCTTTTCTTCCAGGTAACAGAGAGAGAACAAGAGGTAACGGCCTCAAGTTGTGCCAGGGGAATTTCAGGTGGGATGTTATGAAAAATTTCTTTTCAGAAAGAGTAGTGAGGCACTGAAACAGGCTGCCCAGGGAGGTAGTGGGGACAACATTACTGGAGGTGTTTAAGGAAAGGGTAGGTGTAATTATTAGGGACATGGTTTAGTGAGTAATATTGGTGATAGTGAATGGTTGGACTAGATGATCTGAGAGGTCTTTTCTAACCTTAACGATTCTATGATTTACTAAAGCAGTTAAAAGGCAACCATTTTTTTGCAAAGAAGACTTCACTTTCTTCATATTCAGACAATTTTTGCTTAGACCAGTTTCCCACCTTCTCTGTTTACATGAGCAATTCCCATGGGGCTAATAAGTCAAAATTACAGTGTAACCCTATTGCTGTCATTAGTTTAGCTGGCATAAACAGATGAACAAAAAAGAGCTAGTTGAAATAAGCCTACCTAATAATAAACTTTCTAAGTCAATAGCATCACTGCTGTGAGATTGAGGTGAACCATGACAGCTAAAAAGCAACAGAAAATGCTTTTTGAATTATGGTTCTTTAAAGCCTCTGAAAAGGAATGATACTGTGATCCAAGCAGTCTGCTTTAATGAATAGTTGTTCAGTACACCCATATAAGGTGTTAAGAGAAGTCTGCATATTTCAAGTATTGCTGAAGTAGTTCATAAGACTGCCCATTTTCTGGCCAGACAACAAGGAATTCACCTCTGCAAAAGGTAGTAGGCACTAAGTAAATTTTCTTCACAGGTATGTCAGAATTATCTACCTCAATTAGGTATATTATTCCAAGTATTTCCTGCAGTGGAAGAAATAAAGTATAAGCGTTACCACACAGTCTGTAATAAACGTATTTGCAGTGTTAACCCTAGGTATCATTGCTCTAGAGTGCTAAACAGAGAGATGTATAACTTGTCTTGGTAAGCTGTTCCTTCATCAGGGTACAACATTTGTCTTGGTAGTGACAGGCAGGCCTAAAAATAAGACAGTACTTAGAGGACAACAGGAGTACAGCTGGTATGTTTGTCTTTGAGCTCTGCACCTTCAACCTATATGCTGCAGGAATAGCACAGCTGCAATATATTCCTCCAAAATTGCATGACCTGTAATTCTGCCTTGCTACTGCTTTTCTCCAAAAACATCCTAAGTCAGATTCTTCAAGAGACTTCTGCATCATTTGAAAAGTAGCCATAGTATTGGGTTTTGAGCAAGGGAGTGGATTATGGAGAAATAGTTTAGTTATGAAAAAGCTCCTTTTGTGGATTCCAGATCCACAATAAACTCAAGCCACAGTTTCATGTTTTAAGATGTTACTGGTGCATGATGTGAAAAAGAAGCAATAGTGCATTTGAGAAATTACACAGTCATGCCACCTAAAAGGCATGATAGTTTTTATGTGGTTGCAATGCGCTCCTCAGAAGTTACATAGTCAGCTATTCAGGATCAAGCTTAGCCCATAACACCACGTGGCACACATCTACTTACTACTAGAGACACTGATATCAACCTCACAGATATTTATCACATATTTTATTGCCCTTGCTGGCTTCAGGAGTTTCAAAATCTCAACAATGGAAAGGACTTGGCCCAACATTCTATGACCAAGAACTAAATCAAAACAACAACAAAAAAAATCTGTTTAATATTGAACGCACTACAAAGCTGAAAGTCTTTTTGAAGACTGTTTGTGTGAGTACAGTGCTTCATTGCTAATAACAGTTAAAATGACTTGGAGAACTTGCCAAAAATTTTTACCAATAAATTTAAGTCCTAAAGTGAACCTTTCCTGTGATTTGACTATACAGAGTATTTTAGAACATGCTTACTATTTAGTGTAAGACATATCAAAGTACTTTTGACAACAGGCATCAAAACGCCACCCACAGTATAAAGTACAATGAAAGGTAAGTGCCTGAGCTGCTCTAAATCAGAAGCATCTTCTCTGCAGATAAACCACTGTAAACAACATCACAGCTCCCATCAGAAGCGTGAGGCAACACAGTAAACCTTGTGAAACTGTTCCAGTTTCACTAAGTATCCTTTACTATGCCACAGTAGTAATAATCCTTTTTTTTTTTTTTCAAATAACCTTAACAGTAAAACAAATACAGTATTTGTAGTATGAATATATTGCTTTTTTAAACACTTCCTGCTTCATTACTGCTTAGTGGCTGGGGAGTTCTCCCTCAGTAAATGTACTGTGCTACAATTTCTCATGAACAATTATATGACCATCTTACATAACAGCATTTTTTCCCCTAAAAATAGGCTACTTCTAGCATTTCACTAAACAATTATTATTTTCAGATTTCATTGCTGATATTTCCTAGATTACATTAGGTTAGTTTTAGCCCAGTAACAAACATGCCATTAAATTTGATAACACTATTATAGATGCAATAGTTGCTGAACCACAATTTCTCTTCAGTTCTGCAAACATTCTGCATTGCATATCATAGAATCACAGAATCACAGAATCACAGAATCACCCGGGTTGGAAGGGACCTCAAGGATCATGTAGTTCCAACCCCCCTGCCTAGCAGGGCCACCAAACACACAGATTCAGATCAGGTTGCCCAGGACCCCGTCCAACCTGGCCTTAAACACATCCAAGGACGGGGCATCCACAACCTCCCTGGGCAGCCCGTTCCAGGGCCTAACCACTCTCCTTGTATAGAACTTCCCCCTAACATCCAACCTAAATCTTCCCTCCTTCAACTTCGATCCATTTCCCCTAGTCCTGCTGTTGTCAGCCCTTTTGAAGAGTTTACTCCCCTCCTGGGTGTAGGTTCCCTTCAGGTATTGATAGGCTGCAATGAGGTCACCCCGCAGCCTTCTCTTCTCCAGGCTGAACAAGCCCAACTCCCTCAGCCTGTCCTCATAGGGGAGGTGCTCCAGCCCCCTGATCATCTTAGTCGCCCTCCTCTGGACCCTTTCCAAAATCTCAATGTCTTTCTTGTACTGAGGGCTCCACACCTGGACACAGTACTCCAGATGGGGCCTCACAAGAGCCGAGTAGAGAGGGACAATCACCTCCCTGTCCCTGCTGACCACCCCTCTCCTGATGGAGCCCAGGATCCCATTTGCCTTTCGAGCTGCCAGAGCGCACTGCTGGCTCATGTTCAGTCTCTCGTCCATCAGGACCCCCAGGCACTACTTCAACACTGGCAATGTGCCCAAGACTGGACTAAATAAGATATAAAGGCAAGGAAAAATGTACTAGCAGCTACAGATCGGAGTATTAAACTGAAGTGCCAGAGCACTCCATTAAATGGCTCCAAATGTAGCTTCAGGCGGCACTGAGGCAATTTACAAAGTTAAGAAACTACTGTTTACTTCCAAATAAACTTCGGAAAAAAACCACCCCTCAAAAATAAAATCAATGATCTGAGGAAGTGCTAGATCTTGCACCTCTTTTTCTTAGAAATTATCACACTTTAGACAAACAGGACTACTTGTATGAGTAAGGACTTCAAACATTTTTCAAAACAGTTTTAGTATTGTCTGGTAGTACAAGAGATTTTTTATAAAAGTGTGAGAGCCTTGAATGTCACTGTTAAGTAAACCAGTGATGTGATACCATTAATTAACTTAGCTTGCAATGAATTTTTATTTAAGCACTATACTATTATGTTTTCAAAATAGCATGATGGGATAACTGATCTAATTATGATTATACATATGTGTATGTTTTTTATAGGTATATTTTAGAATAATATATTTCAAATAAAATAAATAAAAGATCACTACTCCTGTACTTTCACTGTATGGTCTAACTTTTTTTTTTTTATTTATAGCTTTCAGTCTGTTTCACTTACGTTTGTGAATCATCATAGAAATGAATTTGCTGGTGACACAATGAAGTGCTGTCTGACTGCTTAATAGCTGCACACTGGCATGGCTGTCACCATAAACCATTGTAACATCACAGAAAGCCACTGGAGACAGGATTCCCCTGGCTTCACTTAGATTCCTATTTCAGGTTAAGACAAATGGCATTGACTGCAAATTTCTTTAAGTCCATTAACTGTAAATGATGGCTAGCACAGCTATTGATTGAAGCTTACACTGCAGGTAGGTAAAGTCCTCCTCTCTCCACCATAATACTTAACAAAACTAGAGCATGAATAAAGCCATAATAATTGAGATTAAGATACAGAAAACTGCAATTTCAAATAAGTCTTTTCTAACCCTTCCAAGCAGATCATGCATATGACAGTAATGGTGAAATGAAACCTGAGACATTAAAATACGCATTTGAATAAGACTGTAACTCTTGGCACCAAGAGCTCATAGTCTAAGTCTCCTCACCAGCTTGAACCAAGCCTTTTGAGTAAAGCATACTAAAACTTTAGACTTTGAGATCTTCCGTGTTTGAGTCTTTTGGAATATGTCACATACACACCTTAAAACCAATATATGAAAGGATGTAAATAAGTTAAGAGAGGATAGATTTATCTTCTTTTTAATTATATCTTAGAAAAAAAATATCTGAGCCAAACTGCTACTGATACTAAAGCCAAAGGAATTATTGCAATAGAGAACTTGGTCCGCTCATTCCAGTCAAAATTCATCCAAGATTTCATGGTTCCTCAGGAAACTTATGTTTGCCTGAGCTATTTTAACTGAATGGTAACATAGCATTCCAGCTACAAACTGTGCTTCTATTTGCACTGGGGGCTTCAATTAAAGCCAATTTGCTCTGATAAGGCCCCACTGCCTCTTAAGCCAAACTGTCTATAAAAGAATTCACATGCCTTTACTTGCTGAGAAAGTTCTCTTAACAGAAGGCTTGAGGTTTTAGGAAAATTGTGTTGTACATACACGTTTGATTTCTCTAATGAAATTTAAAGCTTTTTATTCAGCTGTTTATCTTTCAGCAAATTGAATGTTTTTCAGATGACAGCATATTTCTTCTTATACACTCCTAATAAAAATAAAACTTGAGGATCTCTCTAAAAACAAAGTGAAAAATCATTCTGAAGCAGTGTGTGGTAGACCTTTTTTATCCCCAAAAGTGAACATTTTGACAAAACTCTTATCCACAAAAATGGAAATATTCTATCAAGGTACAGTAGCAGAACCAAAAAAAAAAAAAAAAAAAAAAGGAACAATAACCCCAATTTCTTGGTAGTGCCCTTTCATTCTGTGCTTTTTTATTCTTTTATTGAGATATTCTCATATCTAATATGAGAATATTAGATTCAGCCATGTGGATGTACAAATAGTTGACAAACTATTTTTCTGCACGAAGTCAAATGGAGAGTCTTCACCGCTATCTTTTACAGAAAAGCATTTCCTTCACTGTGAATCAAGAAGGCAATAACTCTCAGTACTTCTTAATTTACTAATTGTAGATTCTGTGAGGTTTTAAAAAGCCGAATATGATGGGCAGGCCTGTCAAAGTACACTAAAAGGAAACTGAGTGTTTGTACTAATAGAAGAGATGATGATATAACTTTCTTAATAAAAAGTTGTGAAAGATTCTTAAGCAAGTATACCTGCTCTGGTAAATAATTCCGTTTGGATGCTGAAAATGAACTGGAGGCACAAAAAAAAACTCTCTAGTTTTAATGAGATCCAAAGCAATCCAACTGTATCTATTTATACAGCAGGAATGGCTCTGAATATTCTCTACCTGTGCCAGTATCTATAGTACAGTTCTGCCTATTTTTAATCTCCTAATATGAAATATAGATAGGAAAATTATATTTGAGCAGTGTTCTTTTGGCAAATATTAACTGAAATTAATTAAACTTTTGATGATATTCCTAGTCCTTTCTTCTTCTTTGTTTGTCCACTTCTATGTAATCATGCAATATGATTTGAAGATCCTTTGTGAATGTATGAGTGCATGGTTGAATACCAACTTTGTCTAGATTATTAGGAGCAGATGGCTCTGTCATTTTCAAATGAAAAGATAAACTGTTCTAGATGTGCTTCAACATTATAGATTAGATCTCTGACTCTGAATGGTAAGGTATGAATTCTTCGTGGACAAACAGTTCATAATTTCTAAAGATTAACACAACTGTTACCAACACAAATTCTTTTCCTTCTCATTTTTGCAGCATAAAAAGTGGATTAGAAAGACACTTCAAAGTTAGCAAAGGTTTAATTACAGCTTCAGATATCACTTAAGTCATTGAGTCAGTAGGCTCAGATACAAGCAGCATTCATATGTCACAGGTTATTTTAAAAATTATATGAAATAACCATCAGAAGCAATAGTCTTAAAAATACATTTGAAAAAAGCCCTTGATCTGATGAAATGTGACCAATTTTTTGAGCTGAGTAGAAAAAACAGAGCTTTCCAGAGCTTTCCTTATGTATTCAAACACAAGGTTTCCAGTGCTCTGTATCTTACATACATATATATATATATATACGTATGTATCTCTGTTACTGCACCAGTTTCTTGGTATTAATATCAGCTTAATATAGTAAATATTTAAAAATACTAGAATTTAATTCACAGAACAACACTTCACAGTAATATAGTGTTAGTTTATATTATTCATGTATGGCACATAATATTCAGTGTCTGTGTCAGTTGAGAGAAACTGGTACCTCCAGCATTCAGTGCAGTATATCTGAGATAGTTGAATAAAATTAGACTGTAACAAGGCCCCTGTCTTCATTACTCATAAGGTAAAAATGCAATATATTTCCACATGTGATTTATTTATTTAACAAGAAACAGTTTAATTGGAATACATGAGAAGAAGTAATTGTTTAAAGCATTCATCCTAAGAAAGATACTTTTTATTTTGAAGAAAAAAAGCATGAAAAGGAAATGTTTCTGCTTATAGAAATTATTTCCATTCTGCCATCATACTTAAAGCTACGCATTCATTTAAGTGCTTTGCTAAATAGTGTCTTAAATATGCATGTTGTAAAAGTCTGAGAAGTACGAAACACCAAAAATGTATTAATTAAACTGAGTGGATAGATAATGCAGTTCTGCACTGAAGCATCTGAATTGTTTTCTTGAAATTATGGGCATTGTATCCATTTGCAGCCAAAAAAAATACTTACTGACTGCAGAGTCATAAGAAGTTGAGTTGTGTTCATCTCGGATATGAGGAAATGGTGAGAGGTAAGCATGTGTGCAAATCTTAGAAGGTGATTGATTGGCTAAAAGAAAAAGAAAGATCATTATTAATATTTTACTACTTTGAGAATTTAATATCCTAAGACTGTTGATAAGCAGAGTTTCATAGGACAAGATTCAGTGTTCCCTCGTAGTAGCTTTGCAGTGGATTTTGCTTTCGTAAGAGACAGCAGCCTTGATCTTCTGCCAGGGATACTCCTTAAAGGGCAGCTCAGATTTGTACTACAGGAACAGTAAAGCAGCCTGGTTGAAGGGAAGGATCTGGTACACTGCAACACATACATACGCTTTTACATGCATATGCATTTTTCTGTTGCGAGAGTTAATTATTTCTTGCTCATTACAGCATATCCAAGCAATGTATTTAGCAAAATATGGGTTACTGAAGTTAAAATTGTATGAAAGCATCTGTTTTTCACTAGGTTTCTTAAAACTCAGCTATAAGGTGAGGGATAACTATATCTCACAGGTTGGGTCAAACACAACAAGGTAAGATTTGCAACCTTTTCTTCATTTGAAATTTTGGTGGCAAATACCATCTTCCAGAATCCTGGCACATATTGAAAGAAAACAGGTCATCCACACATTTAGTAGAGTTTTTTTTTTTCTGAAGGAGTTGTGCCCTACACCATTCTCACATACTCATAGAATCAGCTGGAGAAACTGCAAGCAAAAACTCATGGACTTGTCCTAAGCATGAGGCTCTTTTTCCCTGCTTTATGAAAATGAACAGACCATTTACAACACAGCAAGAGACTGTCTTGATAAAAATGGACTCTCAGTTAAGATGACAGGCTACTACTGAAAGAGTAAGCTGATAGTTAAACATGGAGGATTTTGTCCTGGGATATCCTTTAGTACAGATTTTAAAAGTGTTTGTCACTTTTGAATTTGTTTGAAGATAAAGAACCTGATCACTGAAGAGACCAAATGAAATTCAGTGACTCATGAGAACTAAGAAAAGCTCCACAGCTTTGAGATCCAACTATTGTAGATAACATAAAAAGAAAGGTATTACTTACTGTACCAGAACTTCCACATGCTGGTGTTATGCTCTCTTATATTTCCACTAAACCAGCACCTCCAGAAGAATCCTTCATGATGAAACGTGGCCATCTCAGTCTATGAAAAGTAAAAATAAAAATGAAAGCCTTTATCATACTATTTTTCAAACAGCTGAAAAAATGAAGTTCAAGTGAAATTAAGATATGTAAAAAATAACACCATTACAATGACACACAGCCTGTCTGAAAAGAGGTTAGCTATAGCCTCTCTACACAGTTAAAGTTCACAGTTATAGTGAGAGAATGTCATATTGCAAAAGTAGTATCATAAAAATGTAATGAATTTTAGACTTGATTACAGCTGTTTACAAGAGGTTTTGAAGTAGGCTTAAAAGCCTCCAGAATATCAGTATGAGTATGTTCAAAAATTCATACAAAATTCAATCCCTATGAAACAAATAAATCCAAGAAATTATAAATAAAAATCCATACTAACCCCAACATCCTCAGGTGCTTTTGAACACCTTCCTACTTCTGTAGAAAGAAGCCAATAATCAGTTCCAAATGCCACCAAAAAGAGCAAAACTCCTAGAGCTGCGAATAAACCTCCAAAAAATATTCCCACACTCAGTTTCATTATTGAACTTTAAAAAATAAAATAAAAAAAAAAAAAGCAATTTTTTTTCTAGTTACTTAAGAAAAAAAAAGAAAAGTATTAGGCAAGTGGCTAGAAAGTAGTTTGGAGAGTACGGCTCATATCTGAAGAAGTTTCTCTTTGCTTGATTTTCTGCTGTGTTTCCCAATGCCCTGTGAATTGATTTGTGTCTCCTAATTCGTGTTCCGTGTGGCTGGCTCAAGCCTGACAGATGAAAAGGGCCATCTATTTTAGGACACTGATGGCAGAGCTTCATTCTGTTTCTCTGGCTGGGCGAGGCCAGTCAGAAATAGCTGACCTTCCCCTAACTAATCAAGGATTGACTTGAAATATTATTGCAGCTGGTACATGAACTTCAGTGGAGCTGGAGCTGCAATAGCCTTGTCAGTCCATCCAAAACATGATACAGAGTGCAGAGGTGCAATAAGGGCTTCTAAGATCCAGTACTGGTAGTGAAAGGTTCCCTGGCTACTAGCAGGGAATTAAACACACACATCACTTTGGAAGTTACTAGCAGCCACTTTACTAAATAAAGGCTGAGATTTTTTATGAAACTTTGAAAACATGGTAGCCAAATCACAGAGATGCCTTTGAGAAGTCCTGATCTGGAGGTATTATAAGTGCACTTAGTTTTAGAAATTTATACCTGTACCACAGCTCCCCACACTTGTACAGCAACATTAATCTTTTTTCAAAAAGAAGACACTTTTCCACGTGTATGTTTTGGCCATTTTGGAAGGTGATCGGGTGACATATATAAACTCTAAGGACTCGCTGCACAAGAAAAAGGCTTTTCCAACAATTTCTTGTCATGCCAAGCAGTCCTTCCTTAGCATCTCCAGTGGACCACAGAGCAAGCTCCTGTAGAAATTCTTTGAGTTTACACTATACAGTGGATCCTGCAGTCTTACCCAGTGACATTCCATTGGCATTATCTATCAGCAGAGTAAATAATATTCCATTATCTTCCTAAGCTGGGAAATGCTGGGATCAAGAGAAAGATGAAGTCAATTCACCCTAGGAAGTATTTGCCACAGATTTTTTTGCAGCAGACTTTACTCTCTAAACTGTTATTCCTACTGCTACTGTCTGCTCGGGCAGTACAGCAGCGTACTGAAGGAAACTAACAGAAGAGACTGATTCTGCCCTCTCGAATATCCGGACAAATGAACCAGAGATGTGTCCTCAGTGTTTTTGTAGCACTACATCATCTGCCTAATGCCATATTTGCAAGTTACAATTAATATTCTATTCAAATTTGACACTATAGTAATTTAACACAAGCATTTCTGACTTTTTTAGACACTTCTGCACTGCACAGTTTCAGTGTACACAAAACAGTAAATAAATTTCCAGTCAAACAAACTTTTTTTGTCGTATTTTCTTTCCGACAGACACTGTTGTAGTACATTTTTGCTATACCTGAAGGTGGTGATCTTTGGAGAGTATGCTATTAAAGAAAAATAAATAAAAATTTATCCAGGAAAAGAAGAATGTATGTAGAATGCCCCAGGAGTCACTGCCCCTGGAGGTATTCAAGAAATGTGCTGATGTGGCAGTGAGGCATATGGTTAGTGGACACAGTGTGGATGGGTTGATGGTTAGACTACATGGCCTTAGTGATCTTTTCCAACCTTACTGACTCCAGGATTGTAAGAATGTGTGAGAAAATAATGCATATTTTTGAGCATGTTTTCTGCAAACACCTACTTGCCCCTTAGAAAAAAAATTGTAGAAAAAAAAAATCAGAAAAAGAACAATGGAAAAGTCAGGTTCAGTGCAGGACTTACCTGTCCAGATCCAAACAATTTCATGTGAGCTGCATGTCTGTGCATTACAGTCAATATAGCTCTAATAAATAAAAATGGTGGAGCCTGAAGAGAGGTTTAGCATGACCTACACCCAAAGAACTCAGTTCATTCCCTCATGTAGACACCTAGTTCCACTGATTTCTCAAGGTATCCTACTGGCTTTCAGCTGCCACTCCATAGAATCATAGAATCCTTAGAGTTGGAAGGGACCTTTGCAAGTCATCTAGTCCAACTCCCCTGCAGTTAACAGGGACACCACAGCTAGATCAGGTTGCCCAAGGCCTTATCCAGCCTCATCCTGAATGCCTCCAGGCATCAACTACATCTTTGGGCGACCTGTTCCAGTGCCTCAGCATCCTCGCTGTAAAAGACACTATTGAAGAGAATACTAATTGGACAAGATTATGTATAAGTATTGCAAAAGGCATGGCAGAATTCAGTGAAAATAATACAAATGCTTTTATTATGTGCTGCTATTCATAGGAAGCAACAAGGAAACTGTGGCACACAGTGACAAAATGCCTTTTTCAATGTTATATCTGAAGTGAAAAGAGAATTCCAGTCTCCTGACAGCCACTGAACACAAATAATGAAAGAAATAAAATGGTTGGTTTCATTCTTACTGCACCCACCTGCCTTCAGGTGACTTCAGGTCAGATAAAAGAAAACACATCAGTGACTCTATGAACTTATTTCTACATGGAAGTAACATACTTTCATGTGTAGCTTCACAGAAATCAGTCTGTACAGAAATCAGTTTCACTGCATTCAAATGACAGCTGAAGCTCTGACTATGTAGTAAAAGTATTTATTTTTAATATACCATACATGCATCCTGGTCTCAGCATAGAATGTTCTTCCTGAGAGGATCTCTTTTAATTATTCTTTTTTATGTTTATGGCACATTCTCTGGCAGCACTACCTTCCAAATAGTCTAACATCTCCAGTACTATGCCTGACTATGGCAGAAATGAATCAGGAGACATATTCATATCTGTTATATCATCATAAAAATTCACCTTTTACACTACTTAAATGCTCACAGAAAGTCCCAGGGTGCATTTTCTTAAATTAAATTAAATTCCAAATGTTCCTCTACAGAATATAAAAATGTTCAAGGCAGTGAAAATTGGGCTAGGCTTATCAAATAAAAACAACCATTAATATGATTCTTAAACAAGTTAATTCCCCAATTCCTTCCAACACTCCTACAGAATTTCTACAGAAAGATTGACACTTTAAAATCAAAGCCAAATTTATCCCAACCATAATGACAATGATATAATTAAGTCAGTTTTAACATACAATCAATTTGGCCAATTACTCCCAACAGTCATCGATTTTGTTGATTCATAGCGTGAAGATTGAAGGCTCTCCGTAATGGATATATTCCAGTCTCATTGAACAAAGCTGGCATAAGTTTTATGATTTTATTTCTGTTTAATTTTCTTCTGCAGATAAGGCTAAACTAATTCCTAAATCTGCATATTTTTGTTTACTTACGTATCTAAATGGTTCCAGCATCAATACATTATCTGAGCCCCTCCTCATATTTAAAAATAGAAAATAATTAAAAACAAAACAATAGCAGGCTATTTCTTTCCTCCTTTTCTATCTGAAGGAGAAAAGGCTTGATTAGTTTATGGGAGGAGGGGGCTGTTTATTTGCTTGTTTATGTTTATGTGTGATTGAGTAAATGTCATGTGTGTACATTTGGAATTGGCAAGCAGCTTCTTATCTGTGCTGGCAGATACGTCCATGATCTAAAACAGACTTTTAGAAACATCTGCATGTCTCACTACATACCAAAAAACAGTTTGTCTAGCTGCCTCAGAACTGGGTCCTTCTGAAATCCTGAAGCCCATTTATTGCTGAAGAAAAACATTTTGAACATCTACAGTGTATCTCATCCACTGATTCAGATATTTATCCTGTCCATCCTTCCCAGCTGGGTAGCACATTATACATTGCACCTACAAGATAAATTGTCAGCAGTGTGCTGGGCAGACATACAGAGAATATAGAACAACTTGTCTATTAAGTCCTTGGCTGGGATTCATCTTACCTAACACTAAACAGTTTCAGTGTAGCTGCCTTCAATTAAACTTGTCACCTCAGTTTTCCTTTACAGTTACACTGGCAATTCTAGGACACAGTCCACCTGATCTATTTTTGGATGACTAGTTCAATATACAATGAATCACACCCTAAAGTTGCATTCCTTTATTTTTTAATGACTTTTTTTCTCCACTGACTAAAAGGGGGCCTGGAATTATTAGTTTGAGATGTGATCACTTCAAAATTAATACTGTAGTTAATCAGGTCACTTATTGCAGAATTACAGAATGCTTGAGGTTGGAAAGGACCTCTGCAAGTCATCTGATCCAATCTCTTACTCAAGCAGAACCATCTAGAGATGCTTGCCCAGGACAATGTCCAGGTGGCATTTGAAGATCTCCAAGGTGGAAGAACTCCACAACCTCTCTGAGAAACCTGTGATAGTGCTTTCTCATTCTCACAGTAAGAAAGGATGCCCATTGTTACGTATCCTGTCACCAGGCATCACTGGAAAGAGCCTGGCTCTGTCCTCTTTGTACCCTCCCTTTAGGTATTTATATAGAATCATAAAAGAATGTAGGTTGAAAAAGACATTTAAGATCATGAAGTCCAACTATTTACCTAACTAACAAGTCCACTGCTAAACCACAGCCCTAAGTTCTATATCCATACCTCTCTTAAATATTTCCAGGAATGGAGACTCCACCAGTTCTGATGCCTTACCACACTTTCCATGAAGAAATTCTTCCTGATATCCAATCTAGAACTCCCTTGGCTCAATTTGGAAGATGTTTCCTCACATCCTGTCCCTTGTCACCTGAGAAAAGAGACCAACACAGTACTTGCTGCAGCTTCCTTTCAGGAAGCCTCTTCTACAGAAAAACCAACTTCAGTTCCCTCAGCCACTCCTTATAACTCTTGTTTTCTAGTCCTTTCACTAGCTTCATTGCTCTTCTCTGAACATGCTCAACTAACTCAATTCTGGTAGTGAACAATATAAAAGTGAACACAGTACTCGAGCAGCAGGCTAGCCAGTGCTGAGTACTTCCCTAGTCCCGCTGGCTACACTATTTCTGATGCAAGCCCAGTTGCCATTGGCCTCCTCAGCCACTT